AAACCCCATACAGAGTTGCTGTGAGTTGGCATTGACTTGACAGCACTTAACAACAGCAACAACATCATTTAGAATTTTCACTATAGTTATGCTTGTGTTTGACCTCTTTCACTGAGAAGTTTCCCATGTTTTGTTTTTTTTTTCTCTTTCTCCTTTCAGACTGTGAAATTTGGAAGCCCAGCCACTCAGTGGCTTGATCACCTTGAGATCCAGGTGCCCAAGGCAGTGCCTGGCATCTAATTCTTCAGCTTAGGACCAGGAATACTTACATAGACTCTTTAAAACAATTTTTTTTTGTTGCTGTGATTTGGGTGAAGGTGTACAAGCAGATGAGTTTTCCATTCAGCAATGCACATACATTTTGTTTCATGTTATTGATTGCAATTTCCACAATGTAACATCACTTTTCCGACTTCTTCCTATATTTTCTGTTTCATTCATTCTTGTTTCCTAATTTTATTCTTGGGTAAATGCTGCCCTTTAAAAATTTTTTTATCTCAAATGGTTGATTATCCTAAGGTTTGTACACCTCCCTATTGTTATTGTTATTCTTAAGTTGTTGCTAAGTACTGTCGAATTGGTTTTGACTCATAGTGACCTGTATAGAGTTTCTGAGGAGCAGTTGGTGGTTTTGAACCACTAACCTTTTGGTTAGCAGTACAGTACTTATCCCAAAGTGCCACTCCAGGACTTGTCTGTTATTTGGCTGAAAATTGAGCCAGGAAGTGAGTTTATTTCCACATTTGAAGGGTAACTAAGGGTCACAGTCTTGGGGGTTCTGTCTGTCTTTATCAAACAGTAAGCTATTAAAAAAAAAAAAAGATTTTGAGTTTTGTTTCACATTTGTTTTTTGCCACTCTATTCAATACCATCTAATGTGATCCCTTTAGAGCAGTTCATAGTGGTAGCTGGGCACCATCTAGTTTTTCTGGTCTCAGGGTTGTGGATACTAATGTTCCCATGATCCATTAGTCCATTGGACTAATTGATTTCATGCATATTAAATTTTTTTTCACTCTTCTGTCTTCTAGAAAGAGAGAGACCAAGAGAGAGATCACCTTAGATGGTCACTCATGAACTTTTGCGACCACAATAGCTACCCATCAAAGAAAGACACTTTTTGAGCTTGTAGACTTAATAGAAGTGAGGAGAACAGAAGCAGGAGAAATGAACCAATTAAAAGAAGAAAAAGTTTAAAACATGATATAGAATCAAGGGTGAAATAAAGGTTAAACTAAAGTTAATAGTTATAAAAATATTGGGGAACAATAAGACTTAACTTTAAAAGGAAATAATGTCTGAATCAAGAAAATTGTCAATTGGAAAATAGAAAAATAGAGTTAATTAATAATGTTAAGATTTTTTTTTTTTAAAGGTAAAAAGGATATAGTGGTTCTAACCAGTCTTTCCTGATTATATTCTTTTCCCACCCTGCCTGTATTCACACCTTTTGGAATGGGACATGGTTTACTCAGGGCTGTGTTAGGAGAAGACTGGAATTGGGAAAAGATTGTTCAATGCTCTGTTGTAGGAAGGGCTTTCTTATGATCTTATTAAGGTGAAAATTTGAGCCAGACTTGAAATGCTATGTTACCAAAGGATCTCATGTGGCTGCAAAAGGATAATTAAATGAAACTTACTGCTGTCAAGTCAATTCTGACTCACAGCCACCTTATAGGTCAAAGTTATTGTTGTTAAGTGCTGTCGAATCGGTTCTGACTTAAAGCGACTCTGCATAGGGTTTCCAAGGAGCAGCTGGTGGGTTTGAATTGCCTCCCTTGTGGTTTGTAGTCCAGTGCTGATCCTACAGCACCACACCAGGAGTCCATAGGTCAGAATAGAACCACCCATTTGGTTTCCTAGGTTGTAATCTCTATAGCTGCAGACTTTC